GGCTCACAGCCTGCCTGTGCAGAGCTCTTCTGAGTGTTTGGCCTTATCCGTCCTTGGACAGCACGCACCTTGGTGTCACACCCAGCCCTGGGTTCAAATCCCAGACCTGCCACTTATTTATTTGTGACCTCGAGCAGATCGTTTTTCCTCTCTCACCTTTACTTTGCTCCTTTGTAAGAGAGATGATGTCATCTACCTTGAAAATTGTATGGTGAGAATCAAGTGAGATGACTATACATATTTCCTTATACATGTGTGTGTGTATGTATATATGTATATATATGTGTGTGTACATATAATCTTAAACATGTGGTTAGTGCCTAAGAATATATAGATATATAGATATAGAAATATAAAATAAAATCCTTACCATGTGGTTGGTGCTCAAGGAAGTCCTTTTTGTCATTCCCTTTAATTTTTGAGTCTTGAGACCCTCAGAACAGGCCTTGGTTACCTGGGGTTTCCCAGAGCCCCACCCGGGGTGTAGACCTGACATAGTGGAGCCCCTGCACTAAGCTGATGGGGTGTGTTTTCTGGGAAGGTCCAGGGAATGGTGTCTTGGCTGTGGTGACCCAGGTGGCTTCATAGTTAGATGACTTCCATAGTCACTGTTCCTCCCCCTTCCACATCTCTCTTTGGCCTCTGCAGCTGTGTGTTCATCTGGCACCTGGGCCCGGAGATCACCAACTGCATGAAGCAGCACTTGCTGGAAATCAACCATCGGGAGCAGCAGCAGCAGAATACCAAAGACGGGAAGTGGAGCAGCCACCCCAGGTCCTGGCAGCCACCTGTCCATCCCCCATCTCTCCTTCCCCAGAGGAATATTTTCCTACCCTAGGCCCCAAGAGAAGTGATGCTGGGGATGTAGCCATGGCCAGGACAGCCCTGAACCCTGCCTTTTGTGCACTCCCAGCCTAGGGGGGCGATGGGCTTTTAATACAAAGTTATGATAATACTCATGAGAAAGGTTTTGAAGTGGAAAAGCAAAGTGTTTGGAGAGCCCGTAAGCACTGTGATGAAGGAAGCCCCAGGCGGCTGTGGGGGCCAGAGAAGGCCCCTGATCAAACCAATGGTTGTGGTAGAGGTGGTCAGGGAAGGGTCCAGTGTGGTTGAGTAAGAAGTAAGAGACTTTTTACTCTTTCAGGTCTATATGACACAAGATCACTTTTATTTGGAGTACATTCATGTTCTAGTTTTTGGTTTGGGGGTCTCAATTTGGGAGATTTGGGGGTTTTTCTTCTCTCCTGACCCTGGGAGCTATCTTTGTCTCTGTCTTGAGGCTTTACCATTGCTTCCCATTGGGTACCAGGCCTTAACATGGGCCACGTGTTTTGCAGTGGTATTGGAACTATTGCAGATCTAGACACCAAGGGAGAGAGCAGTTCCCTTTGTCTCCTGGTTTTGAGGCTTACCCTCCACCCTGGGGCTGAAGCAGGGTCCCGGCTCTAATGCCCACCTCGTGTCAAGCATGTTTTAGACTCCTATACTCCAAAGGAGATAAACTCTCATTGCCACCCCCCACTTCCCAGAACAGAACCCAGCAGCTCGGTACTCAAGACCCACTATCTGCTTTGCTTTCTGTCCCATTGCTGTGGCCCTTGGAGAGTTTGTCTTATTTTTTGAGCCCAGCCATTCTTATATTTCACTTATTGTGGTAATATATTTCTAGCAGAATGAGTGTGGCAGGTGAGACCTCCCAGCACCATGTCGACCAAAAGCCAGTAATATGTTCCTATGGAACCTAGCACAGAGCCCTAAGCAGGTCCCCCCAGCACCCCATTTACCTATTTCTCTCTTCGCCGTATTCATTCCTGGCTTCAGACAGGAGACATATGCATCCATGCCCAGTGAGATTTGTTCCCTAAGCCCTGGAGAGCAGACAGAAGATGAGTTGGAGGAAGAGTGTGAACCTGAAGAGTCGCTGAAGACACCATCCAAAGAGAGCTTAGATCCAGGTTGGGAAAGAGGCCCTCTCTTTTGACCTCTGTCAGCATAGCAATCATTGCTGGGTTTCCCCCACTACTTTTGTTTTCTGTGCCTGGCACACGTTGAAGTTCAGTAATCACGTCTGTCAGGACTCTCTCAGTGTAATAGCAACCAGACTCTTGCCTTAAACTGGAAAGAGGATTTATGTGTTCACGTACCTGAAAATTTGAGAGGATTGGCTTCAGGCATATTGTCTGGATCCAAGTAGTCAGGTGATGTTTGAAAAAAAAAAAATGTATTTTTCTCTATCTCTTGACTTTAATTTTCATCATATTAGTTTGCTGTCAGGCAGGCTCCTTTTCCTGGGAGGGGTGTAAAGAGAGTATCCCAGGGGAAAAAACAGTGTGTTATCCAGAAGACAGAATAGATTCTGTTGTTTAGGCAAAAGGGAGAGTAATAGCTTAATGGCTTTATTAAAGGCCAGGCCCTCTATAAATTTCTGCTTCTCTACATATCACCTTGCATAGGCCCTTGTGGATGCAAGATGGCTGCCCAAGTTCCAGGCATCAGAGGCATGGTTGAATAGGACATTCCATCCTAGAATCTCTTTGAGAAAGTAATTTTTTTCCCAGAAGCTCCCAGCAGGATTCTCTCAGGTCCCACTGGCCATGATTGCTCCAGTGTGAGAGAGGCTAGAACAGTAACTAGCGCTTGTTGCTTTTAGTGCTTTTCCCCACAGGCAAGGGCCAACTGGATAGCTGGTTGGCAGGCAACACTCCTGATCCAGTGTCCTCTCCAGAGTAGCCACTTTTATCAATTTGGTGCGAATCCTTATAGGCAGCAGTCCCCAACATTTTTGGTACCAGGGACCGGTGCTCCTATGACAATCTAATGCCTGCTGATCTAAAGTGGAGCTGAGGCTGTGATGCTAGCGCTGGGGAGCGGCTGCAAATACAGATGAAGCTTCACTCACTTATCTGCCGCTCACCTCCTGCTGCAGACTGGTACCAGTCCATGGCCCAGGGATTAGTTTCCCCAGCTTATAAGCCTTTTCATAGGTATATCTATAGGAAACACATCATATTTATGTCCATAATTGTATTATACTGCAAGTATCTCAAAAGCATGTTATCCCCCTGTATGTTGATGAGTACAAAGTAGAGATCTCCCTCTTTTAACCAGCAGCATAGTTGGATGTTTTAAGATATTCCCTCTGGGTGGGCATTTAGGTTTCTTCTAACTTTACACTGTTGGGAAGCTGGCTCTGCTGACTGCTCCTGGGCCTCCTCCTCAGACACATGTGAGAGTGTTTCTCTGGGACAGAGGCCAAGGACTGGCACTGCTGAGCCCTGGAGTTAGTATACTTTTTGTTTTCAAAGAGAACCTCAAGGACTCTCCAGATCCAGTTACTGCCCCACCTCGCAGACAGGGTTAAGCTCTTCCGTCCCCCATACGTTTGCCAACATTTGATTGTATGAAGCATTTTAATTTTGGTCAGATCTTCTGGGTAAAACATTATATCCCATTGTGTAAATGTGCATTTCCCTGACAGTGAGGTTGAGCTTCTTTTGATATGTCCGTGGGTTCCTATATTGTCTGTTCAGAGAACTGCCTGTTTATATACGTTGTCCATTTGTCTGTTGCATTGTTTATTCCCTTTCATGGATTCTGTGTCTCTCTCCAGATCCTCGATGCCTGCTGACCAATGGCAAGCTGCCACTGTGGGCAAAGCGGCTGGTGAGTGTGCCTGGAAACCAGGGTACCTGGGGGCTGGCAAAGTAGGGGTGCCCTCCTCCATGCTCTTGTTTCTTCTAGGAGCCCTTTTCCCCTCCTCGTCTCTCCTTTCCCTAGAGAACCCCATCACCCTTCCAGTCTCAGCTCAGCTAGCCTTTAATTCATGCAACACATATTTATTGAGCATGTACCCTGTGCTAGGCATTATTCTGACCATTATACACAGCAGGAAGCAAGACAGACAGAATCTCTGCCTTCACGGACTCATATTCTTGTGTGGGAGATGGACAGTATCCACATGAAATAGGCGAAGTATAGTATTTTGGGAGTTGATAAGTGTGATGGAGGACAAAAATTGAAAAGGAAAATAAGGAGTATTAGGGGAGGAAGTGACAATTTTAGGGTAAACAGGAAAGGCCTTACTGGGAAGATTATATTTGAGCAGAGTTGAAGTAAATGAGAAATGCAGATCCTGGGGAAGAATGTTGCAGGCATAGAGAACAGTCTGCAAGGGCAAAGGCCATGAGGCTGGATTATGCTTAGCATGTTCGGGCAAGTGTAGGGGGCGTTTGAGGGCCTGGGTTAAGGGTAGATGAGGGGCAAAATGAGGGGAAAAGGGCTCAGAGGCAATGGGGGCAGATGGTGTGAGGCCTTGTGGGCTGTGGTGCGTTCCCTCGACACTCCTTGTTGTCCTTCTCCACTTATTTTTCCCCCATTGCGCTGAGTGAGACAGAGACAAGGAAATCCTCCCTACCATCCCCCTCCTTGCAGGCCAGGTCAGGGTACCTGGCCATGCTCCCTCAGGCCCCCAAGCTTCCCTTCATCAGTATATATTACAGTCGGAATTGTATTCAACAATAATCACTGTATACTTACTCTGTGTGGGCTCTGTTCCCGTTTATATGTATTATCTCATTTAATTCTCATTTAATTCATATCATCATTTCAGATAGGGAAACGGAGGCCTAGAGAGGTTAAGTAACTTGCCCAGGGTTAGAGGATGTGGGATCAACCCTAGGCAGGCCGGCTCCAGACCCTGAGTTCTCAAACACCCACCCTCCACCATCTCTCAAGGAATAGTCTCGGTAGTAGGCAGCAGTGGGCTGGACCAGGGTGGAAAGAGAAGTAGCCATATCTTGTATGTGTTTGAATGGCAGAGCTAACAGGAATGAAGGATGACCTCAAGGTTTGGGGCCTGAGCAACTGGAAAGAATAACTGAGATAGAGAAGGCTTTAGGAGGAGCAGGTCTTGGGGGAAGATAAGTTGTTTTTAATACCTTCACTTTGAAATATTCACTAAACATCCATGTGGATGTGTAGAGAGGTCACATGTGTACTTCTGAAGTTTAAGAGCAAGAGCAACGAGATAGATGTCTGGGAGTTGTTTTTGAGTAGTATTTAAAGCCAAGAGACTGGATGAGGTCCATGCAGTTTCCCTGGCCCTCACTGGAATTGGTGATCACTTGACTGACTGCCCAACCATCCCATCACCCTTAGCTAGGAGACGACGATGTGGCAGATGGCTCAGCCTTCTATGCCAAACGCAGCTACCAGCCCCATGGCCGCTGGGCAGAGCGGGCCAACCAGGAGCCCCTCAAGACCATCCTGGATGCCCGCAGCCTGCATTGCTACTTTACCCCCATGAAGGCTGACAGCCTGGAGGACTCTGTTATAGATACAGTGGAGCCGCAAAGCCTGGCAGGCCTGCTGAGTGAGGTAAGGCTTGCCTGCCCCAACCTGTCCTGCGGCCCCTGTACCACGACTGCCCGCTCAGGACTTAGGACCTCACCACTCTCGTTTTGAAAGTAGGGTTGACTGTCTCACTACAAGGGTGCAAGAGGATTACCTGAGATGGTAGAGAGTAGGAGGGTGAGCCCCGGGCCTGGTGCACAATGAGACTTCCCAGGGCAGACCAGGAATCTGGGAGGTGGGTCACTGGGGGTTAAGAGCTTGGGCCCAAGAGCAGGCCTATGCCTGAGTGGGGGACATTTGAGCAAATGAAGTCTAGCCCTACTTCTTCCCAGCTTCCCTCTGGGCTTTAGTTTTCAGAAATATGGACATTTTTTAAAAAGATGATCAAGAAAAAAGATTTCCAAAACATAGTCATTAAAAAATAGCCCTCAGAGGACTTTTACAGGAATCCGGTGCTAACAACAGGGCCTGGGCCCCTTTTGAGGTGCTAAAGCAATTTTAGCTCTTATTCTATTATTTTCCAAATAAAATTTTTTAGCCTATTATGTTTTCTTTTTTATTATGGCATAATATACATGCAGTTATGTGCTCAAATCTTAGGTATATAGCTTAACGAATTGTTTCCTCTGTATATACTTATGTATATCCACCACCCAGATCAAAATATAGAGCATTTTCTACCTCCAGGAAGACCCCCATGTTCCTCCCAGTCAGTACTCTCACCCAAGGTAACCAGCATTCTGACCTCTCAGCATGGATTGGTTTGCCTGGTCTTAAACTTCATGTGAATAGTCAGTCTCTCAGAGGGTTGGACGCATACCTATTCCTTACCTGTAAAGGGGATGATGATGATGCAGTGGGGGCATGGGATTAGCTCACAGTGAACAAAATGCTTGGCCCAGGCCCTAGTGTACTGTGAGTGTACAACAGTGGGGGCTGTCATTATTCCCGACTTTTTTATTGTAACATTTAGCAGCTTGCAAGGGTCCTGGTTGTCACAGCTACCTCAAATGGCTTAGTGCCTCTTCACTCTACAGTCAGAGAGTCCCCAGGAAGATGGCCACAGGGATCCCTCCTTCCTGCTGCCCCTACAGAGGGAGTCCTCTGAGGCCAGTGGGCTCATCCTCTTCTCCTTGGAGGCAGAAGTGACAGCCCCAGGGAAAGACAGGTGGGTGTTCTTTGCACCAAGGGGAGCATTAGTGAGAGAGAGGAAGCCTCAGCTGATAGGCATACTCTGGAAGAACTGCTCTCCCAGTGGGGCGGAGGGGGTGCGGCCCCGATGGTGCAGGAGCCCAGCCTATTTCCTGGGTTCTGGGTGGAGGTACAGGGTGTCCTGGGGGAAGGGAGCCTTTGGAGGAAGCAGAAGAAGCCAGGTAGTGCTCCCAGGAGGAGCAGGATGTGAATGCCTTGGGTTCCGGGTGGGGGCCAGTTGTTTACTAATGAGTATGTTCTTCCCTCGCCCTGCCCGTTGGCACCGCAGCAAGTACTTCGAGAAGGAGGTGGAGGGGGAGCCTGGAGACCAGCAAGGTGACTCCTACCTCAGAGTCTCCTCCATCGGCTCGAAGGATCAGAGCCCACCTGAGGGTGAGTGAGGGCCAGGCAGGGATTCTGGCCAGTCTATTCATCTGGCCAGGCCCCTTTCTGGGCACTGATGATGACCTTGACCCAGTCTTCCTGAAACTCAGAGTGTCACAGAAGATAGACGTGGTCCCTGCTCTTACCCAAAGATTCTAGAGTCCAACTGCCCACTGGTGGAAGCCCAGCTCCCTCACTTTCTCCAGTTGTAATCTTGCTGGTCCATAAAAATAGGGAGCAGATATTATCATACCCATTCACCAGATGGGGAAACAAGCCCAGAGAAACCGAGCCTCTTACCTGACTCACCCAGAAAGGGCCTGGCTTTGGGCTCCTGAGCCCCTGCTTTGTTGTTTCAGATTCAGGGGAGTCAGAGGTCGACCTGGAGTGCAGCTTCACTACTATCCATTCCTCCCCTCCACAGCTGGAACTAAATGCTCAGTTTGACATGACATTGACCCCCACACCAGGTAAACGGGCCAAACGAGGGAAAGGGCAGTGCATGAGCCTGGCTAGGGGCGGCCGTGATACATAACCACTGCCCTACATCAGCCCTACTCTTGGCACTGAGCCTCAGTTTCCTCACCTGGAAGACAGAGCCCTTAGTCTTTCCTTCTTGGCCTGGTAGCAACAGGGTGTGTGCTAGGCGATCCAGCTTTCTCCATTGTTAAGTGTCTGGAGTCTTTGTCAGGGTATCTGCCATGACTCATGGTGTTGAAGGTTCTCTCCTGCCTGTCCTCTTTGCCTCTCCCCAGAACGCCCAGGAACCGCAGAGGAGTTGACCAGGCCTGAGGTGCCAGGCATATCTAATGGCTCCCTGCCCCAGACCCCTGAGCAAGAGAAGTTCCTCCGCCATCACTTTGAGACACTTACTGATGCCCACCCTGAGGGTAGGGCCCAGCCCCTCTCAGCCCTGCCTGGGTGTGCCATCCAGTGCTCGGCACAGCGTGGGTGTCTCTCGGGGTAGGGCTTTCCCCAGCAGGGCTGGCGGGGGTGGTGGGAGGGCATACATTGTATCTTAAAGACTGAGCTGCACAGTTTCCTCTCCCTGTTCCAGTTGCTCTGCGTTGTCTGTTGGTGGGGTTTTTGAGGATCTGCTTGCTGGTCTGTGGGTCCGCCTGGGCCCAGGCCAGTTGGCTGGAGGGAGTCTGAGGGCTCCTTTGACATCTTCTCCTAGAGTTCTTCCACAGATCCCTAAGAGATGTGAAGGCCTCTGAGGATGAGGACTTCTTTAATCCACGGCTGAGCATTTCAGCTCAGTTCCTCTCACGCCTCCAGAAGACATCCAGGTAGGAGCTGGTGAACTAGCAAATCTTCTGGCTTTCTTTATTCCCCAGGGCAAGGCTTTGTCCCCTCAGGCACCCCCAGGGGCAGATACAAGCACCTGGTTTCTTCCACACAGGCTCACCCACACCTTCCCTCCTCGGCTGCCCCTGCACCTTGTGAAGTCCCCAGAGGTCAGACTCACAGACCTCGGGGGGAGCCAGCCCAGAGCGGATCCCCTGAGAGCAGGTACTGGCTGCACCTCCCCAGGCAGGACCAATGTGAGTACTGGGCCCGCCTCCTGGGGACAGAGGGCTGGGAGCTGGGAGGCATTGTCCTCACCTCAGGGCTGTGCTTGCAGGTCCTCTCTGGGGGGAAGGCTCAGGAGTCCCTTGACACCCCGGAGGCCTGGTGCCCACTGAGTGAGTGTCCCCATCCCCAGATGAACAGCCCTGAGCTTCTCTGAAAATGGCCCTAAGTGCCCAGCTGAATCATGGGTGGGGATGGGCAGGGTCCACTGAGACCCTGCAAGCTACCCTTGGGTGGAGGCTCTGTCCATCGACTGCAGCTGGGGTGTGAGAGTGAGTCGGCTGCTTCCATTACAGCTCCCTGCCTCACAGGCCTGGTGTCCTATGTCCCCTCCTCTTCAGTTCTGCCCACAGACAGGAAGCCTTCGACACCCCCAGCTCTACCCACACCAGTTCTGGCTCCGAGTGTCCTCTCGCCCTCCACCTGCTCCTACATGGAGCCCACTGCAAGCTCCCGTGCCAAGGTGTCACGCAGCATCTCCCTTGAGAACAACGAAGATCCCGTCCTGGCTGAGCTAACCAGGCCCGTCCACAGGCCGTCATCCATAGGGGACCTGGCGTCTCTGGGCCAGGAGCTCCAGGCCATCACCACTACGGCAGCACCTGACAGTGAGGGCCATGAGCCTGCCCTGCCCTCCCGGGGCAACCACGAGGCACGGACCAGCCTCAGACTGACCCTGTCAAGTGTCTATGACAGGCTTTTGCTGCCCCCACCCCCACTGGAGCCATCCAGTACTTGTGTCTGGTCCCAGGAACCTGTGGCCACCCAGCCTAATGTTATGGTCACAACAGCTAACTTCCCGGCTCCCAGTCCCGTGGATGTGAGTTCTCTGAGGCTCCACAGCTCCACCTGTCTCCCAAGGCTCCTGGTCCCTGAGCCCCTCAACACCCATCCCAGCAGCCCCCCACTTCCAGAGGCCAGGCCTGGGGTTTCTGGCAACATCACTACCCTCTTGGAGCTCACTCCAGGTGAGTACCACCCTCAGAAAAACGGATGTCCCCTAAACTCATCCTATATAACAGCTGGTTCAGCTCCAAAGGTGGGCACTTGACCTGGCCACAGGGGCTGTGCCATTCATTTACTGAAATATTTAGTGAGCACTTTGCATGTGTTGGGCTTTGTTCTAGGCCCTGGGGACATGGGTCATGATAGTAAATAAGACCAGAGAATTGACACCTTAATTGGAGATGTCCAAACTAAATCTATGAGGAAAATGTTAAGTATATCATGAAGTGATATGTACTAAAGAGAGAAATAAAGAGTTTAGGGAATTAGAAGTGGGGGCAGTGGTTATAATTTGAAACAGATTAATGAGAAAATGCTTCCGAGAGAAGGTGGCATTTGAACAGATGCCTACAGGAGGGACGGAACAGGAATGTGAGAAGTGCTCTTGGAGACTGCGGGAGGTGTTCTAGGCAGAAGGACAACAGTTAGGATCAGCCCAGCCACCCTGCTCTCTAGAAAGCAGAGGCATCTTTCTTGTTCCCTCCCCTCTGCCCCCAGATGCGCTCAGTCTGGTCCGGGACAACCCTGGACACTGGAGGGAGTCCAGGGTACCAGCCAGGGTCCTGTCCTCAGCTTCCCTTGAGCTGAGCAGTGTGAGGACCATCGTGTACAGGCTGCAGACTGCCTTCCAAGAAGCCCTGGACCTTTACCACCTGGTGAGCCCAGACCCGGCGTCAGGGGAAAGGCTGAAGGGGTGCCCTGGGAATGCCTGGCCTGGGGTCCCTAACAAGGTTGGAACCTCTTGCAGATGGTCTCCAGGGACCAGATGAGCACCGAGCAGCGGCAGGCACAGACTGAGTTGGCCTCCACCTTCCTTTGGATCCACAGCCAGTTAGAAGCCAACGACTGGCTGGTTGGGACCAATGTGGCCCCAACCCAGGCCCTGCCCAGCCCAGGTCCCCCCTCCCCACCTACACTGTGCCCCCTGGCCAGCCCCGATTTGCGTGCCCTGCTGGAACACTACTCAGAGCTGCTGGTGCAAGCTGTGCGGAGGAAGGCACGAGGATACTGAGGGCCAGCAGCTCTGCTGTTTTCTGATAAAGTAGATATTTTAAGCAAATAAACTGACAACTTAGAAGAATGGTTCCTAGTGCTAATCCTGGCACATCCACAAAGCCCCGCTTCGGGCATGTGGAGGGAGGGTGGAGAAAAATGCTGTGGTGGGCCAACCCAGGGAACTCTCAGAAGTCCCGATGCCAGGGCCTGTTCTTGGTGTTCTCAGACTCTGTCACATTCCCAAGAAGTTTGGGAACTGCAATAATGATGACCCAGCACCTGGCTCCCGTGTCGCTTATCCCCAGCCCACTGAGCTGCTGAGGGATCATGTGTGGTCCTCGCCCAGTGGGGCCAAGCAGTACCCCAGGAAGGAGCCAGCCCTTCTTCCCTGCCTCCTACTGATGCCCAAGAACCCACTGGAGCTGCTGCTGTCACCATGTGCCAGATCCTGGCCACCAGTACACACATTGCCACACCACTAGTTCCTTGGCCAGACTCATGCTAGATCATATGAGGTCTAGGCTTTTGTCCCTATCTGCAGCAGGGGAAATTGAGGAGGGGCAAACGGGCTCATCAACTGCACAATCTGGGCAGCATGCCCAGGCCACCCGGCTGAGACCAGTAATTCCTTCCCCAGCAAGAGAACTGTGTCCATGTGTCCCATCACTGGTACCAGCTTCCCCAGGCAGCAGGCATGTCGTACCATGTAGACTGCTGTGGCCTGAACCCCTGCTTGCCTGTCAGTTCCTCCCTGCTCTGTCTGGTGGTCACGGCCCACCAGAAACAGGGTCGGAGAGATTCCATTGTCTTGCCCTGGGTCCCAAAGAGCTGAGACTCAAACCTGGGCTTGCCTGGTAGCAGAGCCAGACCCTTCACCATGAGGACAGGGCCCTCTGCTGCCTCCATAAACACTGACACACATCAAAACCAATAATGCAGTTAAAATCTTGCTGGTACCCAGGTTCCTCTCATGGTGCTACACATTGCAGGTGGAGTGAAGAACAGGACAAGAAAAGTGTCTGCCCTTATGGCATTCACCTTCGAGAGAGCAAAACATAGAAATTAAAATAACTAAAGGTAGCTGAGGGAGTTCACTGTGCTGGCTTCAGTCAGGGAAAGCCTTTCTGAGGTGACATTTGAGCTGAAGCTTGATAGAGGACACAAGCTATGTGGACATCTCAGGAAAGTATCCAGGCATACAGAACAGCTAGTGCAAAGGCCCCATGGAGGCAGAGTGGGCAGGGGGAGATCAAACGTGCATGAATAGCAAACAGCCAAGATGGCTGGAATGGAGCAAGCTGCAGGAAAGGTGGTAGGAGGAAGAAAGTGGTCCCACCAGGCAGGGCCATGTTGCTTTATGACATTTAAATCCAAGAAATATTCACAACACAATTTTTCCCCCTAAATAAAATCCCTGATCTTGTGTTTGAGGAGGTGCCCAGTCTTGTTTAATTTTTAAGGCCCCCTCTGCCTGTCTCGGTGAGCTCAGGTAGCTCAGGACTCATCAGTGGGCTGTACCTCTGTCAAGAGGCTCCCCAGCCAGCCCCACAGGCCACCCCTGAAAGACAGGAGACCCACTCTCCCTGTCCCTTCCTAGCTTGGCCACAGTTGCCTAAGATCTCTGAAGCAAGGTTTAACATCCAGGCCTCTGGACACCCAGGGGGTCATCTTGAGACTCTGTGCCTCAGAATTTACCCCTCCTCCCACCCTATTTTATAGTTAAGGCTTCAACTCCAAATAGCAAATACTTGGCTTACGAGGGCCCACACTGTAGGGACATTTGTTACTCTTGATTGTTTCTGTTCTGTCATGCTCTATGAGTCTGAGTTTTACCCTCCAGCTTAGGCCCTCATAATTGTGACATGGTTGCCATAGCACTCAGCAGTACAAGCCTATCCAACCAGTAGTAAAGGCACGAAGCAGGGCAACTGTCAGGATAGTGGGGAAAGAAGTACAAAGCCTTCCTAGACACCTTCCCCTTCAGAGTAGTCACAGGCAATGGGAATGGAGATTGCTTTGATTTGCTTGGACCAACCACCTCTCCTGGACATACTGCTTAAATAAAATTGGGTTCTCAGCACAAAAGGAGGGTAGGCTGATAGTTCAAGAGGACCCAGTGTGTCTGCCACTCTCCACTTCCAAATGGAAGGACCAGACTCTCCTTGGACAAACCAGCTGGTTAAGAAACCACTGCTGATAAATGTGTTTGTGGGCAGTTTGTGGACCGACAGGATCCCAGCAGGAAGAGGACAGCATGCTCATGTGGGATATTTCAGAGTTTAGCAAAGGATTCATTTGCAAAGGTATGGGCAAGGAAGAGTAAAACCACAGCACCCCAGACTGGTGCCAGAGGCGAGCTCTGTCACACACTCCCACGCTACGCCATGAGGCACAAGGGAGCAAAGTGGAACCCGGAAGAGCAAATCCTGGAGAGAGGGCTGCCCTGAGAGGAGCTGTGTCTCTGGCAACCCCACAGGGAGGGAGTTCGGGGAATCCCCTCTCACATCTACAGGGCTCCCCATTGTCTAAACCCTACTGGAAGCCAGAGGGCATGGGAACCCAGATGATACTGCCCACCCCGGTCAGCCCTCCAGGACACAGAGCAGGGCGGAAAGTGGGCCTGGGGACAAATAAAAGATACCCAGCCCTAGATTGCTTCCCTAATGTTTTCAGCAACAACACAGGTATCAATTACCCCAAGAGACAAGAGTTGGGCATGGAGAACTGGGCACCTGAGCAGAAAGAGAATGGCTCTCCCTTCATCAGTTCAGTCTTTAATGCAACCTGCCCCCTGTACTCCACATTGGGATGGCTCCTAGATATTGGGCTGTTGGACCTGTGCCAGGCATACCAGTCATTGCTGCATGGAATCCAACAATTGTGAGATGGCAAACACTGAAAACCCCATTTTATAGATGGGTCTGATGCAGAACAGGGCAAATTTCCTGAGTGGGAGGAAGCTCAAGCCTTTCACCGAGAGTGAAAAGGGTTCTTGACTGAGCATAGGAAAGAATTCAAACGCACGCCAAAGTGAGAGTCAAAAGGAAAGTTTATTAGAGAAGGGGTAATGCTCCATAGACAGAGCATGGTCTCCTCTCAGACAGAGTGAAAGAGCCTGATAGAGACCCAGAGGGACACAGAGAGAGGCAGAGACAATGAGAGAGACAGAGAAATGACACTGAGAGGGCTACCGAACACGTGGAATTCAGTTTACGTATCTTTCTTAGTTTCTGTGAATTAAAGTTTAAAGACTTTGTTTATTCATTTTCCTTTGATGGTATGGACATACAGTGTAAAAGGAAAAGCTATGTAGCATGAAAAGGTAAGAATATGTAGAATGAATGGCCTGCTGGCAATTCCCAGCCTTTGATCCATAGGTTCCCCATGGTTTTAGCCAGAAGGAATGAATAATTTTATTATGTGTAGAGTGTGACTTAAAGATTCTGTTTTCCTGTTTTCCCTTCACAGTATGGAGAAATGGTTTGTTAGCAATCCCATCAGAAATCTTCCTTTGTTCTTCAGGTTTCCTTGTGGTTTGGCCATATGCTATGGCCAGATCAGTATACTGCAGTCTTCGAATATAGCTTGATTCAATTTTTAATTCTCTTGCCTCCTCCCTACATTAGGTCAACTGTAACACAGATGCTTGCCTAGCTACCCCACCCCTCAAGACTTCCTAACAATCCCTGTTTATATGTCTGCTGCATACCAGACCCCATGCTCAACACCCTCCCCACATGATCTACATAGATCTTCAACACACACCAGAAATAGGGAGACTCATTGGTCTCACTTTCCAGATGAAGAAACTAAGGCCCAGTGAGAAGTGGCTTGCCCCAGGTCCTGAAGAGATAAAGTGGCAAAGCTCTGGGCTAGCAGACCCTAAGAACTGCCTCCCTTGCTTCCTCAAATTAATTAGTAGGGTTGACTCTCAGGGAATGTGAATATATGAATACATATTGCTTCTTTCACCACCAAGCGTTTGCATAGACTGTTCTCTCTGCATGGAACATCCTCCCTTTTCACCCTAAACTTCTTCGCTTCAGGGCTCACACCCAGAAAGTCATCCCTGAACCCTTAGGCTAGACCAGGAGCTTCCTTCTGCACCCAAAGACCCCCCCAGGGTTTTCCCCCATCATAGATTGGATCACACTACCTGTGCTTCTCCCCCCGTCATGCCTGGGTCATTCTTGGTGGTCACTGGTGTATCTCCCCCATGGACTAAGGTATGTGTTTGTTTTCTGTGCTAAGGTAGGCCTGGCCTATAGTTGGAGCTCAAGAAAACTGTTGGATGAATAAATGAGAGAAAGTAACTGCATGAGAAATGTTCAAAATCCTTAACCCCTGTTTAAGAGGTCAATGGCCAATCTAGAACACACCCTAGCCAGAGCTGAGGTAGGGTCCTGGGAGCCCCCAGCTATGTTTCTGGAATGTAGAAAAGTCAGAGACAGTTGTGCCAGACAATCATTAGGAGCTGGACTACTAACAAACCAGTATTTTAATGCCTGCTACACCTGGACAGTGTGCTTCTGGCTGAATATCAGCTCTGGGCATCTGAGAATTAGAGAGGTGGAGCTTCCTGCTTGAAGATGCACAGCCTGGGTCTTCACTTTGTCCTCATGTATTTGACCCCGCTGTCCCCCCATCCTCTGGAGCAAGCAATCATAGTCACCCTCTCCCTTGCTTTCTCAGACAGCTGCTGTGATTTGAATAACCAAGCGGGCTGTTGAATGTCCGGTGGTGACTGATTTGCCTGGCAAACAGACTTTCAGGTCCTTGGCCTCACTGGTACTATGGAAAAAAACTCAGCCCCCATGGGATGTTTCCTCTCCTTATACCCAAGAGCTGCCTAGGGTCGTCTTGCCCTTGTTTATGGATCCCAGCACCTGTCTGCCCCTGGAAGCTGGAAAGAGCCCTCGGGAACCTGGCTTAGAAAGGGTAATGGTAGACCCCAAGACAGAGGTAACTGGAACCAGCTAAGTCTGTTCCCAGGGCCTGTCATGAAATTTGCATGGAAAGAATAAGTCTCCTTCACAGCTGCCCCCTCCCTTCCCACCTGGGATAGTCATCCTGGGGCTGAGGTCTGACAACAGGTGGAGGAGGCAGCCTGGGTGTGTGTGTGGTATCATCTCACCATTCCCGGAGGTGATGCCCCGTGCCTTCCTGGTCAGGAGTAGGCGTCCGCAACCACCCAACTGGGGTCACCTGCCTGACCAGCTCCGGGGAGACGCCTATGTCCCAGACGGGCCCCTCACTAGGCCTGGAGGTGAGGGACAAGGGAGACACAAAGCATCAGCATCTGGCTTCTCTCCTAACTGCAGCAACCTGGGAGGGCCACCGGCACACCAGTCTTCTGGCCTCGGGGACTCTTTGGCAGTGGTGAGTCTGCAGCTGACGCATAGGACCCTGCTCAGTTCCCCCCTTGCCAGCTCTCAGCAACAGAACCCAACTGTTCTATATTCCTCGAGCCCATTGCACATGTCCCTTCAGCCTCAGGACCTTTCCACCGCGTTTCCTTTCTTAGTAGTCAGCTGTTAGACCTCATCACAAGCACTATTTCCCCAGGGTGGGCAGCCACAGCCCCTGCCCCCAGGGATCTCCCTCTCACGGGGGCAGAAGAGGGTTCAAGTCAACAAGTAGATGGTAATTTGCTTTATGTCAGAGGATCAGACCAAGGTGACAGGAGCAAGATGGGGCATCCCTATCAGAAAGGATATTCAGCTGTGCATGCACTGGAAGGACAGCACTAGCCGAATGGGAATGTTCAAGATTATTTCAGTATTTATTGAGAGCCAGGAACTGTTCTAGGTAAAGGGTTATTTAGCAGGAGTAAGACAAAAAATTATTTCCCAAGGTTTATAATCTGGTGGGGGCTGCACGTATAGATAATAACATTAGAAAAATATACATTATGTTGGAAGATGGTATGTACTATGGAGAAATTAAAGCAAGGTAAGGGCAATCAGGGATGGTCAGGGAAGGTTTTGGGAGGTGGTACTTACGCACACATATAGTCTCCGGCCTTCCCAGACCTCCTCGGTTGCAAGTTTTAGGTACTTCATTTGCTCTATTATGTGTGTGTGTCTAACTCCCATGTCCCTCCCACAGCCCACACAGCGCACTTTGGTCACCACTCCCAGGGGCCCTGGGACACTTGGCTGCCCACTCTGCCCCAAGGCCTTCCCATTACAGCGCATGCTGACAAGGCACCTCAAGTGCCACACCCCAGCACGCCGCCACATGTGCCGCTGTTGTGGCAAGGGATTTCACGATGCCTTCGACCTCAAACGCCACATGAGGACTCACACCGGTGAGCAGTGGTAGGGGCCTGCTGAGGGGTGCAGAGTGAGGACAGGTACTGGTTACAGGATTTAGGTCCCGATTGAAGGGTGCAAGGGAGAGTCTCCCTCTCCCCGCCCCAGGGGAAGGAACATCCCGGTGAGGAAGACGAGGACAGAGGTGTCTAGCCCATGTTTGTGCTGGGCAGGGGCAGATGGTGGGAGGTAGCCGAGAGGTCTGCAGAAACTTGGAGTAGGAATGGGGAAATGCTCAGAGGGCAAGGTGGGTTGGCTTTGGTTTGGAGGCCATTGCCCTGTCTTCTCCCCCTCCCTCCGCCCATCCTTGCAGGGATCCGCCCATTCCGCTGCGGAGCTTGCGGTAAAGCATTTACGCAGCGCTGTTCGCTTGAAGCACATCTTGCCAAGGTGCACGGGCAGCTGACCAGCTATGCTTATCGTGAGCGCCGTGAGAAGCTGCATGTGTGCGAGGACTGCGGTTTCACCAGCTCGAGGCCCGACATCTACGCACAGCATCGTGCTCTGCACCGTGCTGCTTGAGACTGTGTACCCCTCGTTCAACCCATGAGAGGCAAATAAACACTGGTCAAACACGCACAGAACATTTATTACATGTGGGGGAGGATGGTTCACTCGGTCCAGCGGTGGCCACAGTGTGGTGCTGTGCACACGTAGTACAAGCGCATGGCATCCTGGCAGAAAGGATGCAGGGTTAGGAAGGGTCTGGATCCAGGGAAGCACAACATGGAGCCTCCATCCAGAAGAGCTTCGCCCCAAAAAAGGAGACAAGGGGGCCTTCTCCATTGGTAAGGGTTTAGCTCAGGACGCCAGGCAGGGCAGGCTCCCCTCAGTATTGGTATCCCCGTCCCTGGAAAGGACTAAGCCCAGGCTATGCAGAAAGCCTTCCTAATGCCACTCACCTCTGCCCGGGCACTGTGCGACTGGAAGAACACCGCCTCCTTGTGGCCGCACCTGAGGGGACGGTCAGCCTCTCAGAGCCTGCCACACCTCCCCAGTCAGCGGCGTCGAGGACGAGCCACTCTCCCTCCCGAATACCAGCTAAGCGCTCACTTTTGGCACGGGTGGTCCTCAGTTCGCGGCAACGTGGGGTCCTGGGACACGTCTGCGATTATCTGGGTTAGTTCGCTGAGGGAGCACAGGGTGAATAATTAATTATGCTCTGGCATGGGCTCGCAAACCAACAACCCCGTCCCCAAGCTCCAGCTCTGATACTCACTCCACTTCGTGAGTGATTTTGTTGACGTAGATGCAGCTGTTGTCGGCTTCCTGCTGGTAATCACAATTCCGGCACTACGGGAGGGCCAGTGTGGCGGGAAGGGGGTCACAGAGAGATCCCTGATGGGACTGGAAGGGAGGGCAGAGTTCTCCCCAGAGGAGATGACTAAGGGATGGAGTCTCGAGGTTGGGATAATGGGGTGTATCGAGAATCACTCCGGGGGTAGTCAGAAGGCGAGACCAAGACTAGTCGGGGCAAAACAGGGAGTAGGGCTCACGTGGAGTACGGCGGGCCACGATGGGAATCGGGGGACCCGTGGGGAAAACCCGGACACCCGCGGGCTCGCGCTTACCGCATAGAGCAGAATGCGGTTCTCCTTGTCCTCCTTGGGGTAAAGCATGTTGTTACTGTGGGGCAGGGGAGGTCAGAGGTCAGCCCTGGAGCCATTACTTGCTCCCCTTCCACACCTGTCGCCCGGCCTCACCATTCCTGGCAGAATCGAATACCCACGAAGCCTGGCTCGTAGGTCCCGTCCGGTTCCATAGCGCCTCACAGCCCTTCAAGCCTTCCGCGCTTGCTCCGCCTCGCGACAGGTCGCAGGAAGGGTCAGGTCTAGTTGCTTCGCCTAAAGAGGGGGCGGAGCTGCGCACACGTACTGGGTGCTGGCGGCTTTGTGCTCGGCTGTCAGCGCTGAAATCTGATTATTTGCTTCAGTCTTTTCATATCCTACAGTAACTGCTTCCAACCCGTGGGCCTCACTTCCCAAGTTTATAGAATAGTACGGTACGAGAGCCAAAAACACGGCACGTCACGTAACCCACAAAGCATGGAGCATAAATGAACACGCCATTGCTTTTTGCTGGCCGAAAGCCAGTGCACATGCGCGAGTTTACCCTCCGCGGCTAGGGTAACTCCTGCCAGTCCTTCCTCTCGGCTTCAGCCTTCGCCCGCCAGGGCCGTTTCCCGGGCCGCTATTGGAAGAACTGTGCACCACGGCAGGCCTCTCAGGATTGGCTGGACCTACCTCAAGAATGCGGGAGAGCGTCCAGGTGGTGAGGAGACAGCGGCGATTGGTGGGCCATCCTAGCGCGAGAGCGCGGATTGGCCAGGTCGGGAGCAGGGGGAGGGACTGATTTCCCAGAAGCGGCCGCAGCGGCTGCGGAGCGGGTGTGAGGCGGCAGACCCGGCTGCGGGACCCGGCAGGGCGCGGCGAGATGGAGGTGACAGGGTTATCGGCGCCCACAGTGACCGTTTTCATCAGTAGCTCTCTCAACAGCTTTCGTTCCGAGAAGCGGTACAGTCGCAGCCTCACGATAGCTGAGTTCAAGGTGTGGCCGTGGGGGCGGGGTCCTGAGGGGCGGGGCAAAAGAGAAATGGAGGGGCTTCCCGATCGCTGGGAGGGGCCAGAAATGAACCGAGGTTGCAGAGATTGGAGACGGGACCTTAGCGGGACGGGTGGAGAGGTTCCAGGGAAAATCAGAAGTTCCAGAGGGCGGTGGTCAGAGCAAAAGGATCGAGGCCAGGGAAAACCAGGTGGGGGTCCTAAATGGTGGGTCTCTTGGAGGTGCAAGGATGGGGTGATACAAGGGGAGGAGCCTAAGAGTAGGGGCGGGGCCCTTGACAACTTTCTGTCTCCAATGTCTCCCCATTCCCTCCCTACTCTTCTTAGTGTAAACTAGAGCTTGTGGTGGGCAGCCCTGCTTCTTGCATGGAACTGGAGCTGTATGGAGCTGACGACAAGTTCTACAGCAAGCTGGATCAGGAGGATGCACTGCTGGGCTCATACCCCGTAGATGATGGCTGCCGCATCCACGTGAGACCTCCCTACCTCCCTTCCATTCATTTATTCAACAAATGTTTGGCATACTTTGCCCTGTGTGATAACCAAGATAGGCCCTCATGGAGCCCCTAATTCAGCATGGAGCGAGACAGACCCATCACCAGACAATGACAGCCAGAGTGGTCTGTGCTGGGGAAAGCCCAAGGGACTGGAGACACCAAGAAGAGCTGCCTGACTTTATCTAGGAGTATCAGAGGGGCTTTCTGAAGGAAGGAATGCCTGAGCTGAGACCTGAAGGATGAAGAAAGGGCAACTTAGGCAAAGAGGTGGGAGGGGCATGCCAGCTGGAGGAAGCAGAATGTACAGGACTTAGAGTGTAAGGTGGGTTAGGGTGAGCAATGAGACGTGTTGGGAAAAGCCAGAACACAGAGGACTCTGCATACATTAGCTCCCATTATCTTCCCTGTCCTCATCCCCCTAACCCCACTCCCCACCATACTCCTCAGACATCTCAGCATCCCAGGTGAGCTGCACCTTAGAGCCTTTGCATGTGCTTGAACCGTTCTCTTTTCTATGCCCACGTGACTCACTCCTTCCTTCCAGTCTTTACTTAAATGTCTACTTCCGAATATGAAGACTTCATTGACGTCAGTGTAAAATTTAAAATTTAAACCTCCTTTTTACACTTTACTTGATTTTTGTCCTTAGCTCTATCATCTTCTGACATACTGTGCATTTCCCCCAGCACCTGACACAAAGAAGAGGCTTAGTGAATCTTTGTTGGATGATGAGTTAAACCCATAAAATAAGACTTGGAAGATGGTGTAATTAATCCTATTTTGCAGAAGAGAAAACTTAGCTTAGGTTGGAATTTACTTTCCTGAGCATGAACTATAGCTAGAATTTTTATTTCAGTCTGCATGACTCAAGAAATCAGTGTGCCCAGAGAACTGGTTCTTTTTTATCTCTTTCATTTATTCAGTAATTGTTCATTGAGCATCCATGTTACGCCAGGGGTATAACTGTGAACCAAATGCGAGAAGGTCTCTGTTTAACTCTGCCCAGTGTGTGAGATGTTAGCTAAACCTTCACGAGAACAAATGTGAAGGACTGATGAGGTGAAGGCCATGCAGGAGGAGATCAAGGAGCTGGGAGATCCTATACTGAGGGACACAATCCATCAGTGAGGTCCGAGAGGACTTCCTGTTCGAGATGCTGCCTGAGCAGAGACTTGAAGAATAAGAATTAACTGAAGAAGGGAAAAGAATGCTCCAGTAGGAGGGTACAGCATGTGTAAACACTCTGAGGTGGGAGGGGGCACGGAAGGTGCAAGGGACTGAAGAGTGGCTACTCCAATGACAGAGGGAGGTGGGAATCAAGGGAGGATTCTGAGTCAGGAGGGGCCTGGTCTGACTCGAGTTCACAGGCTCCCTCTATGTGTGAGGAGCAGACCGTGGAGGATAGAAGGAGTAGGGAGACCAGGGAGGAGACTGGTATCATAGTCAAGATAATGTGGTAGGGTAGGAGTGGGTCAGGACTGCTGGGCCCACAGCACTGACACTGGGCTTATCTGGGCAGCGTCAGTCTAGGGATGCTGGCGAGCCAGGTGTGGGTGGTGACAGCCTTAAACAGGAGGTTTTCACATATGGATTCAGGTATAGACAGACCTCTGACTTCTGAGGCCATTCAAGGAAGGTTTCCCAGAGGTGGAGTCTCTGGGGAACTTTTTTTTTTCTAAATTTTTTAATAAATATCACCTATAGTTATTGTTTAAAATAACCTCAAACTTAAAAAAGTCCCTAGAATCAAAAGTAGAAATTCTTAGTGATACCTGATTAGAGATAAGAGCTTTTGCTGTGTTAGCCCAGTGGTTCATGCCAAACACCTCAAAGTGTTTCCTGACCCTTCTTTTTCTCTCATACCCATATCTAGTCTGTCTGGACTCCACCCCGTGGGCTCCACCTACAAAATCTACCCAGAATCTAAACTCTTCTCCCCCTCCACTGCCCCATCCTGGCCCAGCCTCCATCTCCCTCCTGGACATCATAGCTACCTCCTCCCTGGTCTCCTGCTCCCACTGCCTCACACACAGTCTGCTCCCCACACATAGCCGGAGGGAGCCTTTGAATCCCCGAATCAGGTCAGGGCCCTTCTGGCTTAGAGCCTCCCCGGCTGCACCTTATTCTAGGTAAAAACAAAGTCTACAGTGATCTGTTGTGTCTCCCACTCTCCCCGTGGCTCACTCCACTCCAGCCACGCTGGCCTCCCTGCTGTTCCTCAAAAGGGCTAAGGACAATTCTGCATTCAAGACTTTGTGCCTATTGTTCCTTCTCATCCTTCAGGCCTTGGCTCAGGCATCCTCTCCTTTCGGAAGCCTTTCCTGACTACCTTCCAAGGCTCCTTAAGCCTCTTTTTGGTATTTTCCTACATTGAACCTTATTGTCTTCTGGTATTTAATACATGTGCCTATGCATTTGTTTATGGTCAGTCTCCCAACAGAATGAGCACTTCTTATCTATTTTTGCACCACGTCCCTAGCATCCAGCACAGGGCCCAGCTGGGAGCCTTGGAAGAGCTCAGCAAGCCATAAATGAATGAATATGGAGGGTGGTACAGGAAGAAATGCTCCAGGGTCTGGAGGTTGGGTCCAGCTTAGGAGGATCCCAGAGGCCCAGAGAGGACAGATGTGCTGCCCAGAGGGCTCATGAGCAAGACCCAAGCTCCGCCCTTTGATTCCATGACTTGGAGGCCATCAGAGATGTTGATGCCAGCATGTGGGGATCATCTGGGCAGATCCAGCCTCCAGGGTTTAGAGGTGAGGAAAGGGAGATGGCCAGCGTAGACACCTGCTCTCATCCTTTCTATTGGGCTCAGGAGATGAGAGAAGGCTGAGGTAAAGGTGAGGGTAGAATGTAGTTTTTTTCTGGACAGGAGAGACTTTAGTCTGTGGGATGCTCCAGTGCACAGCTGTACCACCAGCACGCTGAGTCCCAGCGACCTCCCTCCCCTCACTACAGGTCATTGACCATAGCGGCGCCCGCCTTGGGGAGTATGAGGATGTGTCCAAGGTGGAGAAATACAAGATCTCACAAGAAGCCTATGACCAGAGGCAAGGTATGGGATACATGGTGATGAAGGGTGTGTTGGGGGACCAGAGGGAGTATGTGTAGGTGGCAGAGGTGGTGGGGGCCAGATAGGATAGGCAGGGACATTGAGGGGAAATTGGTGGTATGGGAAGTAGGGGGCTGATAGGCAGGGGACATGGAGGGGGTGGGGTGAGGTTGGTGTGGGGACAGATAGAGGCGCGGGAGAGCATTTGGAGTGGAAGAGGAATGGGGTGCGAATGGGGGCTGGGAGGTGTGAGGGGATGTAGGCAGGCAGACGGGTGCTCGGGAGAGTGGAGGGAACATGAGAGGGAGGTCTGGAGTGTGAGGGGTCATGTGTGGGGAGAATGGTGATGGTCATATGGGGGCATCGTGGTGTAGACAGGGTTGGGGACAGAGCATGGCAGAATATGTGGAGTGGACAGAGCAGTGCGGTGATCAGTGCAGGCATGTGGAGAAGATGAGGGATTCAGGGGCCAAATGGTGGTGAACATGATACCGAAGGAATGTGAGATGATGGAGTGATGTGAAAGGCTGAAAGCATGCATCTTCTCTTTAGCTTCTGGATTGTGGGGAGGCCCCAGGAATTCCAAGGAAAGGCTAGGGTCATGGCGGGAGACTTGGGGTGCTTAGGTGATAGCACTATGACACCTAGAACAGAAGAGTTTCTCTATGGATGTAGCTGGAAGGGTATCTCATTAGGCCAGAGGCTCCACCTGGGAGACCATATCTGACCCCCACCCCCCACTCCACCCACAGACTCAGTTCGCTCCTTCCTGAAGCGCAGCAAGCTAGGCCGATACAATGAAGAGGAGCGGGCACAGCGAGAGGCTGAGACCACCCAGCGTCTCACAGAGGAGAAGGCCCAGGCTGATGCCATCTCCGTGGGCAGCCGCTGTGAGGTGCAGGCACCTGGGCAGTCCCCTCGCCGGGGCACCGTCATGTATGTAGGTATGTGGCCTACTGAGGCCTTATGCTCTGCCCTGAGGTGGGCAATGCTGGGGACTCAGCCGTCAAGGAGATCCCAGTTTAGTAGGAGTGACAGACACAGAAGCTGACAGTGACAGCTTAGAGTGTTCATGGCAGATAATTGGAAGGCAGAGGCAGAATGATCTACGTTGTGATAGAGGAAGTGGTGATCAGTTCTAAGGCAAAAGCATGGAGCACAGTGGTCAGAGCCAAGATGGAGGAAACAGGCAGAATTATTAGGGCCCTGATGGGGAAAGCACAGGCCAAACTGATCAGGACAGGGATGAAGGAAGTTTAGGAAGCTGTATGAGCTGAGAGGAAGTACCAGACCTGTCCTCGAGAATAATCCAGGAGGGATTCCTGGAGGGTAAGACTAGCTGAAGGAAATGGAGAAGTGAGCCAGGTAAACAGGAGATGAGTGTTCTAGCCAGAGGGAGTAGAGAGGGCAAAGGCTGTAAGCAGGAACAAGCTTGGCCTGTGTGAGGCAGAGAAAGGAAGTCAGCATGGCTGAGGGGAGTGAGTGAGAGGAGAAGTGAGGTCGGGGGCATGGGCAAGGCTGGACCATGTGTGGCTTGGAAGATAGTAGAAAGGAGTATAGGTGTTTTTTTAAAAACAGCTTTATTGAGATATAATTCATATATCATAAAACTCACCCTCTTAAAGTGTACATTATTCATTCATTGGTTTTTAGTATGTTCACAGAATTTGTGTAACCAACACCACAGTCAATTTTAGAACATTTTCATCATCCCCAAAAGAAACCCCATATCCATTAGCGGCCATTCCACATTTCCAAAACCCTAGCTCCCCCAGTCCTAGGCAGCCACTAACCTGTGTTCTGTCTCTGTAGATTTGTCACTTCTGGATGTTTCATGTAAACGAAATCCTACAATATGTGGTCTTTTGTGACTGGCTCCTTTCCCTTAGCATAATGTTTTCAAGATTCATCTATGTCGTAGCATGTGTCAGTACTTCATTTCTTTTTATTGTCAAATAATATCACATTGTATGGGTAGACCACGTTTTATTTATTCATTCATCAGTTGATGCCCATTTGGGTCTTCTCCATTCTTGGCTATTATGAATGGTGTCGCTATGAACATTCTTGAATGTTTTTGTGTGGATATGTATTTTCCTTTTGCAATACTTAGGAGTGCAATTGCTGGGTCACGTGGTAACTCTGTGTTTAACCTTCTGGGGAACACCCACACTGTTCCCCACAGCAGCTTCACCATTTTACATTCCCACCAGAATGTATGAGGGTTCTAATTTCTCCACATCCTCTCCAACACTTGCTATTATTTGTCTTTTTGATGAGTTATTCTAATGGGTGTGAAGTGGCACAGCATTATGGTTTTGATTTGCATGTATTTGATGGCCAGTGATGTTGGGCATCTTTTCATGTACTTGATGGCCATTTGCATATCTTCTTTAGTGAAATGTCTATTCAGATCCTTTGCCCATTTTTTAATTGGGTTGTTTGTCTTTTTGTTGTTGAGAAAGGAAGTCAGCATCTTGTGTATTAGTTTGCTAGGGCTGCCATAACAGAATGTCACTGGATGGCTTAAACAACAGAAAGTTCTTTTTCACAGTTTTTGGAGGCTGGAAGTCCGAAATCAAGGCCTCTCTCCCTGGCTTGTAGAAAGCCCCCTCCTTGCTGTGTCCTCGCATGGTCTTTCCTCTGTGCAGGCCCATCCTCGTGCCTCTTTGTCCAAATTTCTTCTCATAGGGACACCCGTCAGATTGATTAGATCCCACCTTAATGGCTATGTTTTAACTTAATCACCTTTTTAAAGGCCACACCTCCAAATGTAGTCATATTCTGAAGTACTGAGGGTTAGGGCTTCAACGTGTGAATTTTGGGGGACACAATTCAGCCCATAACAAGGTATAAGAGTTCTTAATATAGTCTAGATACAGTTCTCTTATCAAATATATGACTTGCAAATGTTTTCTCTCATTCTGTGGATTGGTTGTCATTTTACTTTCTTGACTGTGTCCTTTGAAGCACTAAAGTTTTTAATTTTTATGAAGTTCAATTTATCTTTTCTTTTGCTCCTTGTTCTCTTAATATTACAGCTAAGAAACCAACACCTAATACAAGGTTGCAAAGATTTCCATCTGATTTTCTTCTAAGTTTTATAGTTTTACATTATACATTTAGGTCTTTGATGACCCATTTTTTGTTAATTTGTGTGTATAGTGTGAGGTAGGAGTCCAGCTTCATTTTCTTGCATGTGGATAGTTGTCCCAGCATCCTTTGTTGAAAAGATTATTCTTTTCTCATCTAATTGTCTTGGTACCCTTGTCAGAAATCATTTGACCATAAGCAGTGTGGATTTTATGCTGAGTGTGATGGGCAGCCTTTGAGGAATTTGGGTCAAGGCATTGGTGCTATTTCCCTTTGATTTTTACAAAGATCCCTTTAGCTGGGGGTGTTGAGTGAATAGGGAGTCAGGGGTAGGAGCAGTGAAGGGGCTGTCATATTAGTCTGGGCAGGAGATAGCAGTGGTTCTGGGTGGTAGTAAGGAGTGGTTTTTGCCAGGACAGGCTTTGCACTCAGTTGGTAGGCACAGATCTGGGTTGAGCCTCGTCCAGAAGTTTCATTGGGATTTTTCCCCTGCGCAGGACTCACAGATTTCAAGCCTGGCTACTGGATTGGTGTCCGCTATGATGAGCCACTAGGGAAAAACGATGGCAGGTAATAAGTATTCCCACTGATGTTTTTGTGTGTGTATCTGTAACTGTGTTTGTGCTTGCATGTGTGTGCATATATGTGTAAGTGTATGCATGTACTGCTGGGTGAGCCTGTCCATCCTGGCTTCTGGGGAGGGAACCACTTTGGGGCCCTCTAACCACTGCCTTCCCCATGATGCCCTGCAGTGTGAATGGGAAACGCTACTTCGAATGCCAGGCCAAGTATGGTGCCTTCGTCAAGCCATCAGTTGTGACAGTGGGGGACTTCCCTGAGGAGGACTACGGGTTGGATGAGATGTGACGCCCAAGAAAGGACATCCTTCTGCTCCAGCTAACTTGCCCGTTTATTGCCCCTCCCTGTGTGTGCCCGTAGCCCCCTTTCCCTGAACTCATTTTTATTTTATTCACTTTGTTCTTGCCATTGACTTTTGAGACTTGTGTATTAAATTTGCCAGACCTGGGAAGCATTTGGAGGACTCAGTGATTATAGGAGGGGCTGAGGGCTGCTGGGTAGGTGAGGGTGAAATAAGGGGCTGGGCAAAGTAGAAGTTGGGCAGGGTGAGGCTTTATCCGTTAGCTGGTAGTTGGAGGCCCATGAGACTCTTCTTTGTCCTTTATTAGTTAATATAATATTCTGCTGCTATGACAAATAGGCCCAAAATAATAGTGGGTTTCACAGATGGAAGTTTATTTCCATGTACAGTCTCATCTCATCACCAAGAGCTAATGAGGTGACCCCTCCATGTCAGAGGCCAGTCTTCATCTCCATGTATCTCGTTGCGCTCCCATCACCTTGTGATTCCCACTTCGTGCTCCAGGCACAAGAGGAGGGGTTATCCCTTGTCTTTAAGGACTACATACATACAACTCAAAACTTGTTCCTGTTTCATTAGCCAGAATTTTGTCTCATGGCCACTTGTAATTGCAAGGGAGTCTGGCAGATGTAGTTTTCATTCTGGGCAGCCATGTTCCTAGAGAAATATCAGAAGTTCTTGTACTAGAGAAACTAGAGAGAAGAGATATTGGGGGTCAGCAAGTAGTTCTACCACAGTCTCTGTGGGTGGGGGACCTTATCTTTTCATTTAATACAGTTGACCCTTGAACAACAGGGGTTTGACCTGTGTGGGTCAACTTATATGTGGATTTTTTTCAATAAATAGTGTAAATGTATTTTCTCTTCCTTATGATTTTTGTAACATTTTCTTCTCTCTAGCTTGTTATAAGAATGCAATATATAATATACAAAATCTATGTGTTAACTGAATGTTTATGTTATTGGTAAGTCTTTTGGTCAACTATAGGCTATTAGAGTTTTAAGGAGTCAAAAGTTATATGTGGATTTTTGACTGCGTAGGAGGTTGGCACCCCTAACCCCCATGTTGTTTAAGGGTCAACTATTTGGAAGAAGAAAGAAATCTAAAGTCTTTAGAAGTAGTTAAACACTGGAGACACAAACATACATGAGAGGTCACATGTAGAAACACAGTTGATCCACACAGATTCTTTCACAGTGGGGAGCCACACATACACACAGGATACACTCAGATTCACATCAGACACCCACCAGAAATAGACATAAACCTACACACACACAAATCAATGAGTTGACAATCTACAAAAACAAAACAAAACTGGTTACTTTAGAAGAGGACCCCAAGACTGAAGCCCCTTCCAAGTCAGGGAGCTGTCAAAATGAGGAGCATTAGAGGGGGTGTACCAAACTTCCCACAGCACCTACCAACCAGAATTCAGCACCCAGAAGAATTAGCTCATCTAATGGATCAGCATTGATAACAGTTAAGACTCACTTTAGGGTATGGCCTCAGTGCACCTGTATTTTAGGAAGCCAAAGGATAGTGCAGGAAGATGATCACCAAAATCATACCTTTGAGCTCCAAGTAAGGGTCACAGAGTCACTGTCGATGAGAATCTGCCAAATTGCCGTAGGAGATCTAAACACAAACTTCTGGGGTGTGCTTTAATGCCTTCTAGCTGTCAACATGGAAAAAGCTGTTCCCATAAGAAAATGGGGAAACAGACTGTTGACAATGGAAGGGATCATGCTGGTAATTTCACCTGCTATGTGAAAGTTAACCACAGTTTGGGGCTAGAGACTCACTTTACAGAATGACCTGGTACTTGAGCTTTAATGGTATCAGGGAGCCCAGAAAGGAAAGGGACAGTAGTCAGTGTGTTACGGTAATACCAGCTACTATAACAAATACTCCTTCCCCTACAGTCCAGTGCAGGGGTTTTGGCTGATTGTCAGCAACCTCCATATGGTGATTCATACAACCAGACTCCATCTTGTGGCTCCATCGTTTCCATGTGCTCAAAATTATCTGCTTCCAGTTAGTAAATAGGAGGAGACAGTGTGGGGAGAGTTCACCATATTCTTTAATAACCTGTTCTACACATTCCACTTCTGCTCATGTTGTATCTGCTCATATTATATTGGTGAGAACTTGTCGGTCACGCAGCCACCCTAGTTGCAAAGTGGGCTTTGGAACATACTCCTGTGCTGAGCAGCTCCCTTCCAACCACTGCTGTGAAAAAGGACCATGGGTTTTGGTGGCCCCAGCATTGACCACCCTCTACCTGTCACCAGATCCATAACCTCAGGAGAAGCAGCAGGAAGAGGCTGTGGGACTTCTTTCCACCAGACCCATTAAATCTTCCTGCCCCACAGCAACTGCCATTGTCTAACCTGCATCATCCATGACCCTCCCCCTAATCCTCAGGTTAGTGCCAACGGAAGACAGTGATGTCTAACTCTGCACATCTTTTGAGCCCCTATCATATGTCAGGCCTGATGCTGGGAACACACTCATGAACTGGACACAGTTCTTGCTTAGGAGTTGAAGGCAAACATAATTACCAAATGTTGCCTCTTTCACATTTTTGGCTGTGCTATTTCATTATGAATAAGGTTGCTGGAAGTGGGGGAGGGAGGACAAAACCTCTGTACCTGCTAGGTGGTGCTGGTACGAGGGAAGGGATGGTTATGGGAAACATTTGAATAGGAGTCACATGAACAAAAGGGGACAAGGCTTTGTAGGTCTGAATCCCTCCTGTGATTCATGCTGATCAGAAACTTGATCTTTGTGCTAAACACAAACAGGCTGTATACAACCTTTGTGCTGGAGCTGGGCTAGATCACTAACTCAAACATGCCAATGGCTTACTTGAGTTGATTCATGAACCGATTACAAACTGGGGATAATTCAGTAGGTTAAGAGGTGGTGTAATTTTAGTGAAGAAGAGCACAGACTCTGAAACTGGACAGCCTCGGTCAGATCCTGGCTCTCTCACTCACCGGCTGGGGACCGAACAAGAAAATATTCCTTCTCTCTGGGTTTCAGCTTCATTCCTATAAGGCCAATAATAGTACTTACCCCATACGATTGTTGTGAGCACTAAATGGATTAATAAATGTAAAGCGCTTAAATCCAGAGCCAGGCACATAGGTAAATACGTCAACAGTTACAATGCTGGCTTTCATTTAATCCTCACAATGGGCTCTACCCCCAATTTCTTGACTGTTTTTTCTCCCATCTCACCTTTCCTGGCCCAAGTCTGGGGTCACCCTCTCCGATAGGGATTTCCATAGTTTACCTGGAGGACCCTAGGCTCCCAAGTCTCTGCGACTTCATTGGTCCCAGACGCGGGGAATAACTGCTCAGCCGCCACGTGGGGGCAGCAGCGCGGCGCATTGTCTTGCATTGGGCAGTAGCTCCAGCTTAACACGGGAACTGAGTTTTCCAGAAAACCATGCGACACCCTCAGTCTCACCTGGCTCAAGTCTGGAAGTGGTGGTCTTGCCTCCCTCCCTGAGGCGCGGGAAATTGGGCGTCAGGATTTGGCTACCATGCGGAGGGCGGTGCTGCGCAGGCGCAGGCGGCCGGTTGATTCTGCCAGTTTAATCCGACGTCGTGGCGGGGGCGCCAGAGCTGACTTTCTGGCCTCAGAAGAAGAACCGAGATGACCTCTCTGGGCCGTGAGTCTGCTAGCCTGCCTGCTCTCTCTCCCGCTTTCTTGCATCTCAACCAGTCACTCTCCCGGGCTCCTGGTCAGCTCTCAAGCCGGGTCAAGGAGCTCCCATCTTAAAGGAAAAAAATGTCTCTTTCTCTCTCTTTTTTCACTCCTTCACAGTTAAACTTATCTTTTTTTTTTTTTTTTTAACGTATTAAGGAAGTTTAAAATTAGAGTAGTATAAGGATCTCCCAAGTTCCTATCACCCAGCCTCAGTAATTGTCAACATATGGCCAATCGTGTTCACATTTTCTGGCCCTTCTCTTCCCCTTCTTCCCCATTATTTTAAAGCAAATCTTAGGCATCCAGATGTTTCTATATGTGTCTCTAAAAGATAAGGGGTCTCCATCACACCTCACAAAAATTGCAATAATTATTTAATCTTCTATATGGTCAGAATTCAGAGGTCTCCAGTTGTTTCATAAATGTCTTTACTGTTGCCTTGTCCAGATCAGAATCCAAAGAATATTCATGCACTGTATTTGGTTGATAACCTCTCTAAGTCTTTAATTCTGCCACAGTTAGCCCCCTCTCTCAGTCTCTCTGTGGGATTTCCCTGTCTGATTTGGTTGATTGCACCTCTTGGTGTCCTTTAATATGCTCTTCTATCCCTTTATGTTCTACAAACTGGTAGATCCAAAAGCCGGTTCAGTTTTAGGGTAAATATACGTGTAGGATTAAGTTCTTCTATCAGGAGGCACATACCTACCATCTGTTTCTCTCTCTTTTTGTAATGTTAATTTAAAATCCAGTGTTAGATTCTCCTTGTCATCCTGATCCACTCATTATTGAATCACAGCCAAACTTGAGGAAAGAGTTATCTACACATCCTCGCTCCATCCCACTCCCTCTTCTCCACAAAAACTATCTTTTTATTGCTAAACTCAAGAGGCAGTTCTTCACCTCAGCTTCTGGTCCTGCAAATGACAGCTGACATTTGGACTAGTGGTTCTCAAACTTTTGTATCTCAGAAACTCTTTACACTCTTAAAAATTATTGAGGACCTCAAAGAGCTTTTGTTTATGAGAGTTATATCTGTAGATATTTACCACGTTAGAAATTAAAAATAAAAAATAAACCATTACATGTTTACATTAACTTTTTAAAATAAAGAATAGCTGTTTTGAAAAAAATAGTGACAAGAGTGGCATCGTTTTACATTTTGAAAATCTTTGTGATGTCTAGCTTAAGAGAAGATAGTTGGATTCTCATACCTGCGTCTGCATGCAAACTGCTGAATATTATCATGTAGCCTCTGGAAAATTCCTCTGCATACTTGTGAAAGAATGAGAGCGGAAAAGGGAAAGAAGTCTTAGTATTATTATGAAAATAGTTTTAACCTCAAAGACCCCCTGAAAGGTCTCAAGGACTCCCAGGTGTCCCCAATATTTGAAATATCCAAATATTCCCCATGGCAATCTTGATTTCTGGCTTCTGCCATATTACATTTGACAACACAGAACCTACTTGTCTATTTGGGTCCAGTGGGCTGGATCTGTTAATACCTGTCAGGGCTAACGGATGCGGGAACCACTCATATATTAAACAGAGGGACATTAACACGTGGAGATGGTTATGCGGTAGATGGAGGAGCTGAGGGGCCAAAAAGGGAATGGAAGAGCAATGGGAAATTAGCAGCAGTGGGAAGCTGCTGCCACTCTAGGCTGGAGGAACAAAGGTAGGAGGAGTTACCTGGTAGAAGCTGGAAACAGTGGGATTGTCTGGTTAGGAGAAACAAGCTGTGGAGGAGCCACAACCAAAGGGAAAAAGGGAGAATTACCCTAGCCTCTGTCCACTCTCCTCAGTTTCCCGTCAGCTGAACCCCAGGTGAATGTAGATGAAGGGAGAGACTGGGAACTGGACCTAGGATGCAGGCAGAAAGGGGAGGGCGCAGAACAAGTGTGGGTCTACTAAATACAGCCTGGAGCAGCATAGCATGGGTTCCCCAGGGCACCAGGGTTCCCACCATGCCCTGTTGTTCTGCGCCAGGCCCTGCTCACTGATTTACATTACATGTCTGACTGCTTTAGGATTAGAGTTAGGGGTTCAATTTGTAAACCTGTTGTGGTGGTTTTAAAATATGCCTACAAATTTTGCCACCTCTCCTCGAGTGTGCATTGGTCTTACTGCCTGCCTTG